GGCACTGGTGGTAGTGCTGCCTCCTGCGGTGTCAAAGGGCGAGGCGCCAGGGGGAGCTGCACTGTGGAGGACACGTGGGCCAGGAGGCAAGCCAGGCCCAGCCCGCCGATAGGCGCTGTCCCCCAGACACGAGACCCAACACACACCACGAGGTCCTCCAGGGCCGAAGCACACTCCGCAGAGAGGGGGAGCCAGACCACGAAACGCAGAACACGGGCGGCCCTGCGAGGGGGGGCAACCACCCCGACGTCGGATAGCACGTCTGGCAGGCCCCGAGGCCGAGGGCGGGGGACACCCGCCAAGCCCGAGAGGGGAGGGGCGCGGAGAAGCACCGCCACACCCCTCGGCCAGGCCCCGAATCCGAGGGCAAGGGGCCATGGTCATTTCCGGGGTATCCCCTAAGCAGATGCGGCCCTGATCCAATGTGTTCCTGAGGTGGGCGCTCTCGTCGGCCTCGAAGCCCCTCGGAGTGTCCACCCTTGGTGTTCGCACACACTGATCCTGAGTTGTGCTGAGAAGGGGGGTGCAGCTAACCGCCGCAGAATAATCTATCTGTTGGTCAAGGGGGGTGCAGCTAACCGCCGCTGAGTTCACTCTTCCATTCGCATTGGGGGTGCAGCTAACCGCCGTTAGGGTCACTATTTGTTGGTGGTTGCCTCCGTCTCCGTCGCCAGATTGCACCTCGGGTGTGTGGCTCGCCACTGTCTGAGGAGATGCAGGCGCATGCTCTCTGGGGGGATGGACAACGCCCTCCGCAGCTGCGAGCTGTTGCGCCTCCTCCTGGCACTCCCTGGGGCTCGCCTCATCAGATGCCTCTCGGTGCCCCCCTGGGCCGCCATTGTCAGCCTCAGGGAGTTGGATGGTCCTTACTGCTGGGGGCGAGGAGTCCTGAGCGGCCCCGAGGCGGGGGGAGGAGGGAGGCGAGGGCGGGACAGGGAACGAGACGGGGGCGGGAGCGGGGATGGGGGGAGTCGAGACAGGACACTCCCGAACCTGAACATCCGTTTCCATGCCCCTTCCGTTCCCATCCGGTCCGCCGCATTTGTGTCTGCGATAGCACCGTCTACGATACATAGACCTTTCGTTGACACGGGGGGTGCAGCTAACCGCCGCAGAACACGAATTGATGGAAAGTGTGTGTGCGAGAGCCCCATCTACGATTTGAAAGTGCCTCCGCCTCAGCTCTCAGCGCTGCAACTGATGACAGTGAGCGCACTTGCCGCTGAGAGTAGCGGGGAAGCTGATCGACGGTATGACGGGGGGTGCAGCTAACCGCCGCGTAACACGATCTGATGGAAAGTGTGTCCGCGAGAGCCCCAACTATGACACGTCGACCTTTCGTTGACACGGGGGGTGCAGCTGACCGCCGCAGATGACACGATTTGATGGAAAGTGTGTCTGCGAGAGCCCCATCTATGATACATCGACCCAGCCAGTGCACACCCTTCACGCACCTGCTCTCGGCGCAGCAACTGGCGACAGTGGGCGCTGCGAAGACGAAGCGTGCACGGGGGGGGCGAAGGGCGGCCCTTGGCAGCCAGGGCAAGGATGCGAGAGTGCCCAGAGCCCCCGTGAGAAGGCCCCGAGCCCGTGGTCCAGGCAGGACCCTGCGTGCGTCCAGGGTGGCTGAGCCCGGTGGCGGTCCCCTTCGCTGACTTCGCTGAGCGGGAACAATACTTGCAGCCATTGTCAACCTGACGGTCCGAGGTTCCTTACGTTGACTGCCGCCGTGCTACAGCCAGCCAGTGTACAGCCTTCACGCACCTGCTCTCAGTGCAGCAACCGGTGACAGTGGGCGCTGTGAAAACGACGCGTGCACGGGGGGGGCGAAGGACGGCCCTTGGCAGCCAGAGCAGGGATGCGAGAGTGCCTGGCGCCCCCGTGAGAGGCCCCGAACCCGTGGTCCAGGCAGCCCCGGCGCGCGCCCCAGGGTCGCGGAGCCCGGTGGCGGTCCCTTTCGTTGACACGGGGGGTGCAGCTAACCGCCGCATAACTCGATTTGATGGAAAGTGTGTCCGCGACAGTCCCATCTATGATTGGACATCGACCTTCCGTTGACACGGGGGGTGCAGCAAACCGCTGCAGAACGCGATTTGATGGAAGGTGTGTCTGCGAGAGCCCCATCTATGATTGGACATCGACCTTTCGTTGGCACGGCCGCAGCTAATCGCCGCAGAACACGATGCGATGGAAAGTATGTCTGCGAGAGCCCCATCTATGATTGGAAAGTGCCTCCGTCTCTGCTCTCAGCGCCGCAGTAGATGACATTGAGCGCCGTGAAGACGAGGCGCGCGCGGGGGGGGCAAAGGATGGCCCCTTGGTTGCCAGAACTGGGATGCGAGAGTGCCTTGAGCCCCGGTGGGAGGCCCCGGCCCGTGGCACGGGCAGGCCCCCGCGGTGGCCATCCTCCTCGCACCTGAACCCCGCGTGTGCGATGCCACGAGGTGGGGCAGTAATGGCTACTGTGGGGAGATGGCCCGCCACTGTTTTTTTGCCCTTCCTGAGTGCCTGGGTGTACGGGTGGCCCTTTGCCGCCTGGTGATCCCTGCTCGCTCCGCGGCTTCGACCCGGGCGCAGATGCCACAGCCGAGTCCAATCGACGTCGAGGCCCAGCGCGTCGCTGACGACCCGCACGTCGCATTTTGTGGCTGCGGAAGGATTCCAGGAAGAGGTGGCAGGTTTGCGGGTCGTGCCGAAGCGGGTCTATCGCGCCTTTGCTGCCAAGCACGGACTGCCGCTTGGCGAAAGCGTGCCAGGTGCTTGTGAACATTGTTCCCAGTGTGACTTGGAGCCGCCTTATCGCCTCGCCGGGTGTCTCCCCGGGTAGGTCCCACTGGGTGTTGCTGATTTTTGTTTTGTACAGCTGCTGTCCCGTGTCGGGGTCCGTGGGCTCTGGCCGCTGGCGCGGGTCAGGCCATTGGCGCTGCCGTGCATCCTGGCCGCAAGTCTCCAGCGCGCTGGCCTCGCTGCCCTGGCCGGAGGGCTCGCGATCTGCTCGCGACAGTTCCGGCTGCGCGCCTGGCGGGGTCTGCGGGGAGAGGCGGGCCGCATGGTTGGCCGCCGGGCGGGGGTCGGATCGCATCCGGCAGCCAGGGCGGACGCTGCCCTGTGGTGCGCGGGGAGAAGCCCCT